CGGGGACGGAGAAGTCGGTGTCTTGGGTGCGGTTGAGGTTATGGTGGTGGTTATCGTGTTGCGCAGTGTTTGCGTTTGGTCTTGGGCTTGGTCTTGTTCGTCTGGTGGTGGTGAGGACGAGGATGGAGCTTTTGTCCTGGCCGTGGTGGTGGTAGTAGTAGTAGTAGTAGTAGTCAAGGTGGTGGTTGTGCCACCTCTAGTGCTTGTGGTGAAGGTTGAGGTGCTTGAGATATCTCTGGTAGTGTAGACAGCGGTAGTAGCTGATTTCCTCAGAGTAGAATTCTCGTCACCATCATTGGTAGATGTAGTGGATGGACCCGGTCTAAGCACAGCAGGCAACCCGGCCTCTTTCCAGAGAGCTTCGCCCGCCTTGAAGCCAACTTGTTCATCTACATCGGTGATGTTGTAGCCGTCGCGATGGGCCACTGTTTCGATTGTGTAGCACTCACGGGTGGAAGCCATGCCGATATGAATGATAAGATCTGGAGGGCGGCCATCATTGTCTTTCTTGAAACTATCAATTATTGTGGGGACGGCGGAGCGAACGGCGGCATAGGAGACGCGGATCGGCTCCGGGTGGATATGGATGCGGGCATGGCAGGTAGGGGAGGTGGGGGAGGCTTGAGGTAGAGTGACTGTTTTGGGCAGGGCTGAAGCGATCAGGTACGAGGGGTTTACGGCGTTGGTTTTGAAAGGCTGTCATTTTAGTTTTGTGTTTGCTAGTCAGACGGATACGGGATATTTGCGTAGGGTGGGTGTTACGGCGTGGGATATCACCCCACCCACAGAAGGTAGGGTATCACATGAAGGAACACGATAGCTAAAATTTGGGTCTTTCACATACCCCAAAGCCAGTCACCAACACATTGATGTCCTTGACAGACTCCCTGGTCACGGTAAGGGGATTTGGCAACTGTTCCAGCTCGTCGGACACGAGAGGGCCAAGATCACCCATGTTAAACACGCGAACACTAGAAATATGGCTATAAGGATGGACTCAATGTAAGTGTAGCAGCAAAAAGCCCTTCGTCGGTGATGCCAATGAATGTGGAAAATGGGCATTAATATGGTGGGGCAGGAGATGTGAAGTGGTGTGTTGTGGTGTTGTTTCTGTCGATCCCGGGGTGGTTTTTAGTTAACGAGTGGCTACCCGGCAAAAGTTGGAGATCCAGGGTTCGAGGTCCAATTCCCCGCACTTAACTAGTTAAACGTTATGTCAACGACATTCACAACGTCCACAAGCGAGTCGGCCGCCAAAAACTAGATGAGCTTATTTCAGAGATTTTAATCTGAATTATCTGCGCTCAACAACCACTTATTTAAATTAAATTAAATGACACTAGGATTAGGACATCTTGTTCTTTTATGCTTGAGAGAACCGCAATTGCTGCACCTCAGTGGCACCCATGAATGTGGCATAGGCCCTGGGGCCTCGGGGGCAGGGGATTAAATGACTGCCTGCTCAACAGACTCGACAGATGGAATAACTGTCTCAACAGCTTCTTCTCTAGTTATTCCTCCTTCACATTGAATTTAGCATTTAGATCAAAGATCTTTTTGCTTCTCTTTCTCATTTGCATTGAATATATCCTGGTATTACTTCTTCATAATAGTAGCACTAATCATTCTAAGTTCCCAGGCCTTGATAATTTGGTCAAATCCTGGTACAAGGCTCTGACGAGCGTTATCAAGCCCTGCTTCATAAGATTCTTCATCTTATTCACCTGCTTATGCAAATGACAGAAATTGCTAGATGTTTGTAAAATTCAGAATGACTCCGACTTGTTTGATTGACTGTCTGAAAAAGTAGATGCTTAAAAGTTGAACAATTAGTCTTTGAATAATTTAATCAAATTCAAATGAGATTACAGAAGTGACTTTAAAGTCACTTTGAATGATATAAGTCTTGAAGAGCTTTTTATGAGCTGTAGAATAAATATTTATAAATTTAATCTTTTTCATAACATTAAGCTCAAGCTATATATTCTATCATATCAAATGATTATAATATATGATAAATTTATTGATATATGAAAAAAGATAATTTTATATTTCTTTTAAATATGATCAAATTTTAATATAAAATATTTATTATAATTATTGATAATAAAATAAAAATAAGTATTAATTCTATATAAATTTATAATAAGAAATATTTTTAATAGATTATTTAATTTCTAACTCATTTATAATTTAATTATTAAAACTAATATTAAAATTTTAATTATTTAAAAAATTTAATCTTTTTATAAATTTTAATTAAAAATTATATATAAAAATAGAACTTATTTATATATTAACTATCTTAATTATAATTTTTTATTATTAATTTTTTAATAATAAAAGAATTATATATTTATAATATTTAATAATAATAATTATTTTTATAATAATATAAAAGTTTAATATAAATTAAGATTTACTAAAACTATATATATTTATTATTTAATTTTTATATTTAATTAAATTTAATATTTATTTTATTATACTTATATATAAATATATTTTTAAAAATTTATTATTAAATTAATTATATAAAATAAAATAAAATATATTATATATATAAATAATTATATAAATTAAAATTATTTTTTATTTTTATAAAAATTTTTAAATTTTTAATATAAATTAATATTATTTTTATACTTTAAAAAAATTTAATTAAAAAGTTAAAAATAAATAATTAATTTATTTATATTATTAATTTTTTAATAAATTATATTAATTAATATAATTTATTATTTAATTTTATTTTTTATCTAAATATTTAATAAAAAATTATATAATAAATTTTTAAATTTTTAAATAATTAATAAATTTTATTTATATTTAAATTATAAAAAAATTTAAAATTTATTAAATAATATTAATATTATCATAGCTTTAATCTAGATATAAATGAAATAAATATTCAATTATCAACTAAATAAATTATTTTAATAAAATACTAAGATAATTTTTAAAAATTAAATTTAGAGAAAATTTTATTTATATAATTTTTTTCTTAGTATAATTACTTCTTTTTTTTAATATTATTACTAGATTATTCTAATATTTACAGAGTAATTGTGAGATTAATTGATATACTATTATTAGATAATTATAATTATTGATTATCTCAATTCAATAATCTTATATTATTAAGAAATTTAAATAAAACTCATTCTACATTATCATATTATTATTATTTTTGAAATCTATATATACTCTTATACTAATAGATTATCATTTACTTCATGTACTAAATAGTCATTCTTTTCTCAAGTTTTTAGTTATTTATTTAATCACTTTAAAAATTCTACTTTTATTGAATTTGCAGTATACAATTCTTGAATTAAATATGATAATTTCTTTAGATTTTGTACTAAATATCACGTTAAATCATTATTAAATTCTAGTTATTTTACTTAGTATTAAAGCTTTTTACAGAAGATACAGCTTGCTAGTACATTCTTAATCTCTTATTTATTTTTATTCTATATTTTAATTATTTATAATATTTTATTTAGTTACTATGATAGAGAGTTATTCATAGTTTTTCATAGTTTATTAGAGATGAATATTGAATAAATCTTTATACTATTTAATAAACTTAGTCTATCGCTATTGTCAACTTTTTTAAAAATCTCAAAGAAGTTTTTATTTTACTCTGTAAGCTTTCTGCTGAAATGTTAAATTTTATAATTCTTGAATAACAGAAAAATCTTATTTTTTATTCTAAAATTTGACTTATAACAGTATTTGTTAACTTATAATTTTATAATTTCTTGTATTTTTTTATATTGCCAGCTATCAGCTTTCAGATTTTCTTTACTTGAATGATATACTGCTGAGTATCTTCTCATTTGAACTTCTTCTCTTTAGATAATACTCTTAATAGTGACTTTCAATCAAAAAACATTTAAGATTTATATTTATAAATAATTAAAAACAGTATTATTTCAGTTAATTCATTCATTATAACTTTAGCTATATGATTTATTATTGATAATTACTTATTTCAATTATTCTAATAGTAGTTTAAATATAAATGAAGCTTAATTATAAGATATTAATTGATAATTTTAGTCTAATTATCTATTTGTATATAATAAGTTAATAAATACTTCATTTTAATTTTCAATTATCTGATGAACTTATCTCAGAAGTCTGAGAATTCATGATTGAATATAATTAAATCTAATACTTTATAATATTTATAGTAGTACTTCATGAATAGTTTCATCAGCTCTTTAACATTAATTTATTTTGTAATGAGAATAGATATAAGCTTCTTATTTAGTTGACAGATAATCATTAATATTACATCATAATCTCTTTTTATCATAAAGTTATAAAGTTTATTGAAATATGCTACTAAACTCTACTAGAAATTGATAATGACTTTAATAGCTTTAGAATTTTATCATAAAAAATCTTTATTTATTAATATATTAAATAATTATTTAAGTATTAATTGATATTCTTGATTTAGTCACTTCAGTAATATATCATCTTCACTAGTAAGTATAGCTTTTTCTTCTCAGGATATGTTGTTGACACCTACTTATAAATCTTCTTTAAAAAATATGTCTGAAGAGCAGAATTTTTTTCAATTGATATCATTAAGTACTCTTTAAAATATAAAAGTTTATTCATTAACTCTCACAGCTATTCTCTCTGTTGCACTTTTTTAAATAATAATTTTAGCAATTCTGCCTCTCTGTTTCTCACTTTAACTTTATCAAAAATATACATACTTATATCCAAAGCCTTGACTTTAATGAATTTCTTAATAATTTGTGAGTTTTAATCTCTGTGACTTGAGAAATAGTTGCATCTAAGAGCTTTTATTTTTTTTTTGATTTTTCAGTCTGTTTAAAATATCTGTCAGTGTATTCTGATACTTAGATTAATACTAAATCAAAAAGTGAAACTATGAGAGAAACTCAGCTCAGCATACTTGTTAAGTATTAAAGTTCTTAGTAATTATAAAATTTTTCAGTGCTCAGTAATTAGTTAAGATCTTAAATTTATCTGTTCTCTAAGTATCTTTCAGCTCAGCATATTATTCTGATAATAATTTTATAATTATCAATATTTTCTTGTTATAAATTTTATAGTTTTTCTCTATCTCACTTGTAGAAGCTAAGTAGAAGGCAATTAAATATCATTATATGATCTGTCTGTAGCTTCAGCTCTTTGAATAACTTTATATCTGAATTTCTCATTTACAAGTCTGTTTTAATAATCTACATTCTACTAATACTATGATTTTATTACTAATCTCTTAGAAATTTTTTTTGAAATTATCATACTATATTTATTTGATATTTTATTTTCAGATATTCATACTTTTGATCAAAACTAAATATTTATTCTTTATATTAAGTTATATTTCTTGCTTTATCAGTTAAACTTATTTTAAAATCATATCAGTGCTTATCAGATCTATCATCAGTATTGATATATTAAGAATTTTTTTTCATCTATTTATAAATATAAAGAGATGACTTTTGTAATTAAGATTTCTCTCTGATTATTGAAGTTTACAATCTGATAATTTTTTTTTAATTCTTTAGAACTTGTTCTTAAAGCTTTGACATACTTCTGTGTAAATTTTAAGTTAATAAAAATATAGTAATTTACTTTAAAATTTATTAATTATATTATAAAAATAATATATTTATTGAAAGTTATTTTAATATATTCAGTAAAAGAATTTTCACTTATTAGCTTATTTATATTCAAAGTCTCTAGTATAATTATCTTATCTGAAAAGAAAATTTCTCTCAGATTTAATTTTTTTCTGATTTAATAATAGTAGTTTCAATATCTATTTTATTCATTTTTATTTTTTATTTATATAAGTAATTTTATATTATATTATTCTTACTTTAGCAGTTGAAGCATTTTACATTCTTTATTCAATTCTTATTCTTTAGTCTATTCTCAATTGCTTGTAATAGTGTAACTGATATTGATTTATAATTACTTTTTCTCATAGAGATACTTTTACAATTGTTTTGACATTGTTTTTGATTTTTATTATTTAACAATCATCAGCTGTTTTGATTAGATATGCTTTTAAAATACTGATCAGTTCAGATGCAGATCTTTCAAATCTTTTGAAAGATACTACAATTGATATAAACTGCTGCAATCATATATTGAAGATTAAAGAAAAGTTTATAAAGAAAGTCTGCTTTATAATTTTTTTTGTGAACCTGAGCTTCATTAGTCAACTGTAAAAACTTGATCATGAATATATGATAGTCATTTTTATTTCTTATAATCAGATGTTAATATTTTATCTTTATATTCTTAAATTTATTAACATTTTTATATATTTTCTATAGATATTTAAATATTTTTTTTATTATTTTAAACTTCTCAGAATAATTTTTTTTTTATTTTTAAAATTAAATATTTTATATCTTTATCTTTTATTCAGTTCTTAATATAAATGATATAGTTTTTTTCAATAAGAAAGTAGTTAGTATTGACAGCTAGCTTGTGTTTTATTCATGAAAGTTAATTTTTAAATATCAGTTCTTTCTCATTGATGAGATACTTCATATCATTGAGCTTTATAGATTATTGCACTTTTTATATCTATATTGATCTGAATTATAAGATTAAAAAGTTCACAGTATACTGTAATATATTTTATTTTTTTTTTATCAGACTATATATTTGCTAATTAAGCTTATTCATTTATTTTTATTTCTCATCTTACTCATTTTAATTCTGCTCAGAGTTTCTTATATCTCATTTATAAGACTGATAATCTTTTAATATACTAATTCTGAGTTCTTCTAAAGTATTTTAAAAAATATTTTCTTTAATATAAGTTTTATTGACTTTATATTTCTTTTAATCAAAGTTATCATATTTCAGTTCAATTTTCATATATTATTAAATTTTTTAACTGCTTTTAACATCTTAACAGTCTTCTTAGAAATTCAAAAATAAAAGTAAATAAGAATTTTTAGAGATTTTTTATCTAAAATCTATTTTAAAAAGAGTAAAAAAAGTAGTTAATTTTAGTATTATATCATAGCTTTAATCTAGATACAAATGAAACAGATGTTTGATTATCAGTTAGATAAACTATTTTAATAAAATACTAAGATAATTTCTAAAAGATGAGTCTGAAAAAGACACTGTTTATATAACTCTTTTTTAATACAGTTTTTTCTTTTCTTAGCATTATTACTAGATAGTTCTTATATTTACAGAGTAATTATGAAGTTAATTGCTATGCTATTGCTAGATAATTATAATTATCAATTATTTCAGGTCAGTAATTTTATACTATTGAGAAGTCTAAATAGAGCCTATTTTATATCATTATAAATATAATATTATAAATATAAATATATAATTTAAATTAAAATAATTATATATAATTAACTTTTAATAATATTAAAAAATTTTATATACTATTTTTTATAAATTATTTTATAAATTATAATTTTTTAATAATATTTTAAGTATTATAAAATTTAATAATTAAAATTATAAATTAATTATAAAAATTAATTAAATATATTATTTATATTAATAATATTAATAAAATAATATATATATATATAATTTATAAAATTAATTTAAAATAATAATATTTTAAATATTTTTTAATAATTATTTTATTTTATTTTTTATATATATTATTTTTTATAATAAATAAATATTTTAATAATATATTTTTTAATTATTATATAAAATAATAAAATAAAAATTATATAAAAATAAAATAATAATTAATAATTAAATCTATAAAAAAATTAAATTTTAATTTAAAATTTTTTAAATTAATAAAGTAAAACTTATAAATTAAAAAAATATAATTAATATAAAAAATATATAAAATTTTTATAATATTAAAAAATTAATAATAAATATATATATTTAAAATAAAATTATTTATTATTATTTATTTATTTATTTTTTTATTAATTTATATATATTTCTTTTTCTATAAATTTGTTTTTAAATACTGTTTTATTATGAAGTAAAATTTTATAATTATATATCAAACTTACAAAATTGTCAAATTCTAATCTACGAGATAGATTAAAAAACACTTGAAGCTTTGTATAATATGTTCAAATCAGATCTTTACATACTGTCATCCATGAAACTGTCACGGATCACAAGACCTCGCCAAGGCGCCTTTTGTGGTACCGCTGCCCCTCCTATACCTTATGAGTGGGTTCCTCCACGGGCTCGGCTGCCCTTCAACACCTTATGATATCATAGTGATGACGTCCATACTTCCCTGCTTTTATACGAGATGGCTGCAGAGAACTACCGCTGACGACGTCAAGAAGACTCCCCTACCTCCTCTAATCGGGTAAGGTGTCATCTTCTCATTCCATAGAAAACAGGAGCTTGATAGAAGCTCCATATAGATAGTTACCTGACCCGCTGTTCAGAAAGGTCAGCGATTCACTTTTGGTGTATCAGAGTTGCTGAAATACGCTCACATTTCTCTACGAAAATCGCTTGTTACCCCCATCCTTAATTATCTCTTCTATCCGTAGGCATGTGCTCGACTGCTTCTTTAACTAGTCAAGTCCACCCATTCGGGTTCCCATTTAACCAACCAACGTGACGTCGCCGTTGACCTCCCGTCTCGGCGCCACCTCGTTACAGAAACTAGATAACTAGTATCCTCTTGTTTATATTCCTGTTTGTATGAATCTATTTTAATTGCTTTAAAATATAATTTTTATATTCTGAGTAGCTCATTAAGCCAAGCAATTGCTCTATAAATTAATTATATATAATTCCATATTGTCAATTCTATATATATTTTGAATATTTCAAGTTGTTGTTGAGATCTTATTGAAAATATATAATCAATTATACGGCAAGATCGAGGTGATGGATTTAACTACAGTAGTTACTTAAAATCTATTTTTGTTGCATTTAACCACTTTAACTTTTGAGGGTGTTGATTCATACACACTGTAGGGCGAGATGTTTATCAATCTGCTCATGTGAATACATCAAACACCGAAGCCAAGAATGAGAGCTATCTCGGACGGTTTAATATCAGCAGTCTCCAATAGAATAGCATTCAGCGCTGAGTGACCTCCTGGGTTGACTTTAACTGCGGTTGGTTGAGCATGAGATAATATCAGGGAGTGAGTGTATATTATTTCAATATCTCTCTGTTCTCTCACAACAGGGGATACAAAGTTGAAAACCCCTTGGTTCTCTGTACATTATCAAATATCAATCCATTAGATTCTAATTAACTATAATTTACGTGTATAATATTATACTAATACCTCCTGACTTCATACAGTCTGTCTGACCTTACATCAGGTTTGATAGTTAGCTAATTCATGATTGTCAACTTCAAAGAAGGGTGTTGATTCATTGCATAATAACTAATAGTTACCGTAGGCAGAGCTCACACCCTATTGATTTTCCAAGTTACCTGTGATATTAATATCCTTCTCTCAAAATAGTTTAACTCTAGTCAACCACAACTTACCTCACCTTAAACCATGGTTCATCATATATGACTTCCTCTCTCACTTCGACACCCGTAAACTCTATGGTATCTACGACGTGCCATACTATGTCAGGATGAACAATAATAGCAGTTCCACACCCAGAACCCTCAACTCTAGACCTTCTCGAGCTGCCGGAAAACCGGACAAGTTGGGTCTTACGGCAACCATTCCAGGAACGTTTCTGGGACTAGGTTTTGGAACAAAAATACACACACGCGATCTTGGAGTCTGACGGGTTCCAACACGATAAAAACCAATCAAGCAGCGGTCGCAAGATGCGAGCTACCCAATATGCGTCATCTTCGCGCATTTGCACGTGAGGATTATCGCAGATGTTGGAGCATGGTTGAAGACAGGTCTCGTCGTGTTTAGCGCTTCCAGTTGTGTTTCACCGCGTATTCCTTGAAATAGTATTTCTAGTATTGGGGTATTGGCTACGTCATGGTTTTTCGGGGGCCGATTGGGAAAATCGAGGTGGCAGGAAGAGCATGAAAAAGGCATCTAAACAGAATTAACTCATTAGCTTGTGAAAGCGCGCATTATTGTTTTGTTAGAGGAGGCTGGTTGAAGAAGAATGGTCTTTAGCCGTGAAAGAAACCCTCGTTATTGGAGCAGCTGAAAATTCCGATATTTTAGTGATGCCATGAGAGGGGGGAATTTCCTAACTTTGTTGGGTTGTTGGACACCACAGACATGGGTGATTGAAGTATAACTGACTTCAACGGAGGACAATGTAATAGGAAAAAAATAAAGGTGATGAATCATGATTGTGATGTTCTGCGATCAGGTAGTTCCAGGAGGAGGAATGAGGCAGTAAATGACCAGCAGTGCTAATGAAGAGTGCGGTAAGAAGAAAAATGTTATTGTTTCCTTGAAACAATCCAATGGCTAGTTAGGACCTGGGCCACGGTGACGCTGAGAGTAATAAAATCAACGGAGACAACCTGTGGCAGTGTCTGTGTCTACGGAGGTTATTCCATGGATGTGTGCGTAAAAGGCTCCTCTTGTTCTGTCTGAGTACGGAGTAACTACCCGAGCGTACGGACATTACCTTCGCTTGCTTTTCATCCGTCTGATTAGTCGTAAATGTATTATTTTCATCGCATAATCATCCTTATACAGGCAGAGGCAATGTCCTTTTCCAGATCAATACCTAACCGAGTGGATATGTGTGATTTATGTAGTTATCTGTATCTTCTGTCTTCCTTCTCTGTTGTAGTGCGCATGCAGTGCTGCTACCAGCCTGCCAGAAGGTACCTGTAACTACCTGTTCCCGCTGCCAAATCATGGTGGGCCGCCTGGTCACAGCCGGTCACTCCAGAGTCCAAGGTCGAATCCCACTTCGGCCTAGCGCGGCCTTTCGCCGTCCTCAGGCTTGGGCGTCCTCCCTTCTTTTCGCCGTCTTTGGGCCGGCATCCAACCTTGGGATTCTTCATCCATTCAAAAGTCCTAATTATAACCAATCCGGCCAGCCAAGCCAGACAAGCTAGAACAAGCCAACTTGTTAGTTAGTTAGACAAGTTAGACCACTAACTACCCTCGGCCCTCTGCCAGGACAGCGAGTGGAGTGGGCATTCGCCAACAATTGTGCTCCGTGAGCTGCTCCTAAGATCTGGTCACGGTCGGGGCTATCTTCCCATTCGCTCCGGGGAAAGGCTGCGTTCGATAAATCGTCGACACTGGACGGGTCTCTGTCCTCTGTTTGCCAGTCCAGAGTTCTCTTTCCCGTTTGCTGCGCTGCTGTAGTTAAACTTGTCAAAAGCTGGCTGCAAACAAGACGTGGCGCGGCAAAGCTGGTGAACACCATCCATATTCCACATATACTGACCACAATTCTTCTTCCTTTTCTTTTTCTTTCTTTTTTCTTTTTTCTTTTCTTTTCTTTTCTTATTTTTTTTTTTTTTTTTTTTTTTTTTTTTTTTTTTTTTTCCCTTCCCCCCCCCCTTTCTCTTTCTCTCTCTTTTCTTTTGCATCTTCGAGTCCCCTGGTTCTTTCAATCTAAGTGGCACCATATGTCTGGTTGACAAGTGGTTGTCCACTTTTGCGACACGAATCACTATCACTTCGCTGTCTTCTCAGCCCGCCCGTCCTTTACCTCGTTTCCCCTTATCCCCCCGAATCTTTTCTTATTTCTCCTCCGAAGCCCTCTCGACCTTATTGTGTTTCCTCTCCACACTCGTCGCGTCGTTCGTTCGCTCTTTTTCCGTTCTTTACGGAGTAGTTCACTCTGCGCAGTCGCAACCGGAGACCTACCCATACAGGGGCCCCCCCCTGGTGGATTACAACCTCCTAACCTTGCCCCAAGGCTCCTCTAAAAACGAAAATCCCGTGCCTCTCCCGTCCGGTCAAGCGCGAACTGTTCCCTACTAGCCCTGAATGCTCCATCGTTGTTCCAGCGGTGAGAGTGAAAGACCCTGAGTAGTCGCTGGTTTTATTCACACATTATTCCCCAGCCACCCCATATTCTACTCTTCTCTTTCTCCCAGTTCCGCCAACACTACCAGAGCCTCCGCCCGCTGCACGGAGGAGGACTTGACTAACGGGACTGCGAACCATCCTCTTCGCATTCTCATGCCCCCTCTCGTGTCCTTACTCCCGATCGCATATCGACATCTTGGGTGAGGTTGACCTCCACCCTTTATTCTACCCTCTTGGGAAGTCGACTGCCAATTTTACGTCGTCAATTTTATTGCCACTTGATCTGGCCGCTTGGAACCTTGTTTGTCGAGTTCCTCACAAGGGTTGGAGCCTTTTCACAAGCGCTCGCTTTGGACCTATAGCGACGGTGTCCCATGATCGTCTCCTAGATCTATCTGTATCTTTCTCCCTCACTCTCTCGAACCAGCCTTTGCTTTTGGTCTTCTTGTCCATACCCACAATGCTTGTCGATCGCCTCATTTGATAACGTCACTGCCCGAGGGTTGAACCTTGCCATCGCTCATCGACCCTCTTGGTTACCATCACCAATCCTTTTAATTACGAGAACGACACCCAATTAAGTTTATCGGGAACTATATTTCTTATCATCACGACTGGGCCTTTGTTTTTCTTTTGTCAATCAAAACCCACTACCGCATTTTGCCTATATTTCGAAAACTGGAAGACAGGCTTATTCTTTTCTTGTGCTGAGCAAATGTTCGATTGAGACTTCAGAGTTTCAACACAGACATCAACGACATTTATCGAGCATCATCATTTTAATTACTCATATCTTTTCTTTTGAGATGTGGATTTAACTGAAACGAGAAACACGAAATTAACGCGACAACGATTTGAATTTCTGGATTTGCTCATTCACTTCTATTTTCTTTGAATAAGATCTACCCGCCCTCTTACCGCCCATTCATCAATCAATACCCGAAACATTCACGACTGTGGAGACGCCGTTGCCTCAAACCAACCATGGCTCACAGGCGGCCTGGCCTTTCCAGGACATTGCCAAAGGACTTCACTTTTTACATCAGTGATGATGTTCGACCGAGGACTCCGGAACAACCAACCAAGGAGCTCACAATCCCGCCACCTCCCCACCATTCCTCCTGTCGTTTCCGCAGACCGCGACTCACCATGGAAAACCACCGTGAGCTCTTTTGCTCGCCAGATATTCCATTACCGTCAATTGAGTTTTCGCACGACCCGTCAAGCTCCGTAACTAGCTTTTTTGATCAGGTTGCAACTCAAACACCAATTGACAATGCGCTGCAAGTTCCCCTGCGGGGCAGGATCGATCCAAGAACGCCTCCGGCTCAAATCCGGGGTACCCCGGTAGATGAGAGACCACCTTGGACCTATGGAGGTGTGTCAGAGGCGGGCGATTTTATACAACGACCATCGTCTTCGTGTTCCAATTTTTCAGATTCTTCGGTTGCGTCTTCTACATCTTACGCCTCGCATCAGTCGTCGTTGGGGGAAAGCTGTACGAGTCCAGAAAGCGAGATACAAGATCCTTTACTGTCATATCCTCCCACTAAGCATTGGCAAGAGCTGGAAACCCCATCCAAGGCGAGTAACGCGCAGGAAGTTCCTGTTAACATTGTTGCAACCCGATCTCGATGGACTACAGACATGGATAGCCACTTGTGGAACACATATCAGATATATCTCCAGGATCCTCGAATCACGCCTTTCAAACTGGTCCCGGGGAGCCTGCCGCCTTTAGGAGTTTCGCACCGCGTTGCTCGTGAAGCGAGGAAGACTTGGCTTAGGACTAGACACCTACCCAAGGCTGGTCCTTCACCGGTACCATTAATTCCCGCTGTGTATGTGGAAGACCGTGCTAAGACTGGAAAGAAACAAGAAACAGTCGACTCTACAACGCGAAGTGGGAGTACAACACCAATTGCCCAGAAAGTCCCTCATAAGCCAAAATGGCCCAGATCAGACGCATCTACCAGAAGACGTTTGAAGGAACTGTGTAACCGGAAGTTCTTTATTACCCCGCACTATCAACGGCTCCTCCAATCACGAAGTCCGTCTCCTTTCCTCGAACCTTTCGTAGAATTAACGTCTAGGGCGCCTTCGCAACTGAAAGCTTCCCATCGAAGAGCAGCGTCTTTCGCCACCAGGGATCTTGGTGTGTCGTTGGTCTCAAGCTCTTTACCTACCCAAGTTGCTGAACTTGGACGACCGGTGACCCGCACCGATCTCGATACCAGCTCGGATAATGACTGGTTCAATAATATCCAGCAACATGTACAGGGTAGTTCCAGGCAGGATCCCAACAAACGTCTATCCCGCTCGCTTGACCATGCCAGCAACACAAGCCACACCTTCTCACCGGACCCAATCCCTCCCCGTCTTGGCTCCCCTTTCATCTACCACACTTGGGGTCCGGATAGATCCCACCGTCGTCTTCGCTCAGTCACGCCTGCCAGCCAATGCGAGACCATCCATGCAGCAACCGGCTCAAAGCTACAATCTCCAGGACCAGGACGCGTGGATCCTTTCGGGAATGCTCCACACAAACGACGTGCACTGCACCAGTTGGAAGATGAGCTAGATTCCCGTGGTAGCAGCCTCCAACGACCATTCCCAGATCTTATTCGTCAAACGAGATTTAATGATGCTATTAGCCATGGCCAGCGGCGTGTGCGCGTGAGGAATCGGGGGGTTACGACGGGTGCGATTAGCCCGAGAGGAAGGCTGGAGCAGCTCTTCACGCCGCCTGCGCCGTTTCCAGATTTTACTACCGCCGCTGGCGCTAGTCCTACAGGTGCTGCGGAGGACGACAACAACGGGCAAGAGTCGCGGGATAATGTTAATGCCAGCGATAATATTAATTACACTCATAATAATATTAATCACAACAGCCACCTGCGACTTGGTGATGACATCAAACGTCTGGGTTCCCCATTCCACTCCGATCCACCGAGTATGGGCATGAGCAAGAACATATGCTTGAGAAAAATGACAACGACACCAACTCGCTCACCCCGCCATGCGCCGTCGCTTTCTGATCCGTTTATCCCTACGATGACTTCTGCGTCTGCTTCGTTTGCTAGCTTGGCTTCTGTAGCGCAACAGCAGCAATGTATATCGAGACGGCAGGAAGGGACGGAGAATCTGGCCCATACGCCTTATTTTGAAAGGAGGGTTGGAATGGGCACTGGTGGTGAAAGAGAAGGTAATGGCGGTGGCAGTGTCAAGTTGGACACCCCTAATACGCCGTTTTCATAGCATCGGGTTGCGGGGTTTGATGGGTGTTTGCAAGGGTTGGTAAAGCCCATGCTATGTGGCCTTCTTGAACCAATCCACCTACTCCAGCCCAGGTAAAGAGAAAATCACTTCGATTCAGTGGACATGTTTTTAACATGAAAACTTCTTTTTTTATCTCTGTGATTTACCTCCCCCAATTCCCCTTCGTACGGACATGATGACGGCGATAGTGTGAACTATGCGATGCGAACCTTTTCTTTCCTTTTCTCTTTTGAATATAAACTCTTCTTCTTTCAAGATATAACCCTTGAACTGGAATTGAGTTTAACGATATACCAAACCGATATATGTCTGCTTTCTCGACAAGATATCTGTTTTGTAATGCCGTACAACGCTTTCTTCCGGATATCACTCCCTCCTCTACGGCGACTGGATCCTCAGAACCAACCCTCTGGGATGGTCGCTCTCGCAGGGCTAATTAGCTCCGTCCGTTACGTTGTCATCACGCAAAATGTTCAAGAAATGCAAAAGCAATAATGGGCGCAACTTTATTCTTCATTGTGATGTATATTTTCACGAGAGAAGTCGATAAAAGGCTTAGCTCGCAATGATACGCGAAATTAGCTTGCCCCCCTTGCTTTTGCTTTCCTTGCCACACTCCCTTAAAACACACAAAAATCAGAAAAACACAACACCGAAATTACACCACAAAACTTACGATGCGAATTCCGACACAAGAAAAAAAGAAAAATCAAGACGAACACTAACGTCCGACGATGACGACATTGTATTGCCTTTCATTTAATTCTCCTTACATTTTCTCTCAAAACTTTTTGGGCCAATCTATGCTCATTTTGACGATACATATACGTCTACGAAAAAATGTGATATGAAGAAACAGAAAAAAAAGTTGTTACTATTAACGAAGCTCATGCGGAGTGGTTTGGATTTTAAACTACTTAGAACTCACTTGTATTTTATGTCTTGTTTTTAACCCATTTGCTCTAATCGACTCTTTACGCCCACACGACGACGCCGATGACGATAGCATTTTCTCGCCTTTCCTTCATTTTACGACTTGACCGAAATTTAATGACCGTTCATTCACTTGACATTTTCTTTTTCCCTTTTGACCCATTGTCAATTACCTTTGGCTATATTTCCTTTTTTCCCCTTTTCATTTATTTTCCCCGTCCTGTCCAATTGATGTCTACATGTCCACATGTCATCACTGTCATGTTCGCCAGTATTACCCTCTTTCTTACGTCATATCGTACCTTCAGAAGTCTTTAAAGGGTCCCTGTATATGCACCATGCCCATGTATCCGAAGAAACCAACAAACAATCTTTTGAAGCCCCATCTTTTCTTCCATTCCTTTCTTTTTCACTCCTTAGCCTTTCTTACGACCTCTCTTCTACTTTCTAGACATATATGTTTTGTCTATATTCTTATGAAAACACTTACTCGGTGCCAAGCATCAAAAAAACTTCTAAGGATCTAGAAAATTCAAGCAATTCTGTGATATATATTCGTTTTGAGTGTCTTTGTAACTTCTCACACGGCATGTTGCATTCATTTCTCCAGTGTTAGGGTGTCATGAACTCTTCTTGGTAAACACGAAGAGAGGAATTGACGTGTCATATCTATAGCTGCAGGGTAGCATTTAAAATTTCTAGGCGTGTGTGGGTCCGATGTATTGTAGGTTGAGCAACTGTGACGATCAGCTTTGGACTTCATTTTTTCCTCTCTCCCCAAATGTCAATTTATGATATGACGACACAAAATACAAAATATATATATATTTCCATTTTTCCCCCACGTTCCCCCCTTCCAATTTCCCCTTTTTACTCAGAATAGGGGTTGTGTTCTTGGGTTTGTTTTGCTTTAAGCTGCTGTTTGAGGAGGCTTACAGAAGAAACTCAAATTCGCTCATTATCTCAACCTCGACTTCACTCATACCTTTTCAATATCTGTGTGAGGGATGAAGAGAAGGGAAAACATTGCCTGGTATTTTAAAATTGGTAAAACTATTACTTGTGAGAAGGATTTCTACCTCTTTGCGTCTTCATTTCCATTAAAAAAAAAAAGCAAATAAGGCGGAAACAAAGACAAAAACTTGGAAAAATCATGCACAATGC